GGCCGGAGGGTCTAAGTCCCCTGGAAACCGAGTAGAGACCTGAGGACCGGAGCACCCACAAGCTTGTAGATAACCTTCGCAAGAAAGCGAAGGTTGGAGACAGGACAGTAGTTGGCCAAAACAATCATAAAGAGGAGCATTCAGGAAACAAATACATCTTCCAGGGACGCTTCCTTCAAGCCACAATTATAACAGTGATAAGCATAATGGCAGAAGAAATGCCATAATCTGCATGAATTTCCAGCATTGGATACAAAATTGACAGAAACAAAACCGAATGGTGGTGTCATCAAACTTAAACTCTGCAATTTCTTTAGCTCATTGTTGAAACTTAGCTGCAGTGTAGTCTTAGTTCACAATTTAAATGTTATGAATGAAAATTGTAAATGTGCAGAGCCTTAATTGCTTAAATTAATGTTAACAGTTCACCTGCTGTTATTTTTCTATGTAACTTCAATAAGCATTTTATCTACAGGCTTAAGTAAAAAAAAAAATCTTAAAGGCTGCAGAAAGGTAATGGAAACTATTAACATCTGAAACATACCAGTTTCACTTTTAGGCACATCTGCATATTGATCAGCTTTCCTTGTCACCTTGTGGCTGAACTAATGCCACTCATTTTGCATATAGCCACCCAGAACCTTCAGTTAAGGCCAGCATTCCATAGGTCTGGGGCGCATTAAATTTAAGACTCCCTAACCATACTGTTTTAGGAGCTGCACTGGCCACCAATTGGCTTATGGGTTCAATTGAAAGTGCTATTACCTCCAAAGTCCTAGATGGCCCAGGGCCTGGATATCTTTGAGATTGCTGTCAGAGATGCAAGATGAATTGTTAAGGATCCCTTCCCTGCCATCTGCAGGGCTCTGAAACTGGACCTATTCAGTGACTGTGTACAACAAAGGGAAGAGAAGCTAAGCCTGTAGGTTTACTGCCACAATAATGCAGGAAAGAATGTCTTTGCCTCATATGTGGGTCATCAGACATCTCAAGGGAAAAGTGGACATTTTCAGTAGTCTTGGGTGCATTGTAGTGTTTGTCCAAGCCTGAAACAGATTTTACAAATTGGTTATCAACCTACATTAAAGCACTTTCTACTTGTACTAATAATAGCTTCTTATATGAAGTCTGTGAATATTCATTTATAACAGACTTAGAAAGAAGAGCAGTATCCCTAATCAGTATTCCTAGGTGAACAGATCCCTTTGAAAATAAGATGCAGAAATCAATCCCAGCAAAATACATTCCAGCATTCATATGACTGTGTTTCTCTGAAGACAGCTTTCAAATCATCCAGATTATCAGATAGGGTCTCAGCTATACAAAGGGTGAACTGGATACGTACCTACCTCCATGCATCTTAGAAGTGTATTCTTCTAAAATCTTCTTTCAGTCCTCAACTTTAATAATGCAAATCTGGTCTGTGATTTTAACCATGTTCACAGCAGTACAATTAGTGTATCTAACAAGCCTCTTCAATGAAATCTGGAGGGACCTCTATCTTTGAAGACTGGGTAGGTGAGAAATCTAAAGAATAAAGAAAAAGAATTGGGACTTCCGGCTTGCCAAGCTAGTTTGGTGTAATAGGTTAAAAGATGCCACCCTAGAAACCAAGCAGACTGAATTTTAGTCCCAATTTAGGTGTGCAAGCTGGCTGTTTGGCCAGTCACTCTCTTGGCCCAATCCATCTCACAGGGATGTTATTGTGGGGAAAATAGGAGAGAACATCAGGAATATCGTCGCTTTCAGTTATTTATAAAGTAATTATTTAAAAAATAGCCACTTGTTTTCTCTCAAATAGGAAAGTCAAGAAAAAAATATTGCCTTATCCAGATTATCAATTCAAATTGTATTACAGTCCCAAGGCCAGATATGAGCAACACTGAATAAAAACTAAGTTTTACATCTGCGGAAGAGAAAAACATTAACTATAATGGAGCCTAAAATTAAAAACATGGTTACTAAAATTAATCCAAATAAAATAAACTCCAATCCTAAGTAATGGTACAGCATATTGCAGAAATGGTAGCACAGAACTGGGCAACTTGAGAGGTTATTTTCAAGTCCTTGTCTTTTTAGTAGCATTACACAGAAATTGCACTTCCCACTCCCATTTTTTTTCTAGACACCTTATATAGGGAACAATATAAGTGTGTGGCCTAGAATTTCTATTAAGAACTATCGCCACATGGACATAACCAAAGAACCCTAGGAAGGACTGCTGAGGACATAGTATCCAACCTGACTAAAAGTGAAGGACTTACAAAAAATTTAAAATTAGAAAGCATTTTAAATATGTAGCTGGATAGAAATGATAAATAATGTGAGTGTGACACCTTACGTAGGCTTGTTTGAAAATCTATATCCCAGATTTGTTGCTTAAGGGCAATTTTAGTATTATCAAAGCCTAACATGCACAAACTTTCCACAGAAGTCCAGCAACTAAATTATATCTTGTCCACATTCTGAATTGCCTGAAATCCAGAACCAAATCTGGTTTTATTAGCAGAACCTGATCTAATAAGTTTGTTCTGGGTTGGAAATATTTTTGCATGTTGCACACACCTTACAAGCCAAGAACTATCCATTTGACTTACATCTTTCCAGTCACGGGTTGACATTTCAATCACAACTGCTCATCTTGGAGGGCAGCTTCTGGCTCCCTGAAGAAAGAAGACAGGCTTATAATAAGAGTGTTTGGGGGAACAATGGTTTTCCCTCCAAAGAGGCTACTCAGAAAGACCATCTCAACAGCAAGTGTCTGCCGGTAATTCCAGCGTATTTAAGGTTTTAGATCATCATGGTGAGCCTTCCTCCCATAGTATCCAACTTCAGAGATTCAGAAATTTACCTTTGGATGTTTCTCCCGCAACTCTACACACTGGTTCTTCCGACGTCTTTTTGAAGCCAGATCCCACATGGCGGCAATGGCAGAAAACCTGCAATGCAATCAAAGATAAAATAGATGATCAAGTACCTTTAAAAAATGGAGATTTCTGTAATGATAGTGGGAGGTTGGGCCTATCTCCTCTTCCTCCTTTTTTTGTCCGGACTGATCATAGTCCTGTCTCGGGAGGAAAAAACAGTAATAGGGGAGGGGAGAGCGAATCGCGGTCAGCCATGAGGAGTCTTTCGTCAGTTCTCGCATCTGACGGCACTTCCTATCTCGGCATCATCACCCCGCGAAGGGGAAAACAAAGAGGGGAAAAAATAAAGCCTACGCGAGGCGCCACAGGCCCCCGCGTTAACAAAAAAAAGCAGGGAGAATGTTTGGCTCGCAAAAAAACCAGAAAAGGACCGACCCGTCATCCCCGCAACTCACACCCTTTTTCTGGGGCACCATGAAATCTCTCACCTCCCTCCAACAACACACAACGCAGCGGTGACGAAGCGCGAAAAAGAACGAGCCGTTTCCACGCGGTCTCTTTTAAGGGAGGGGGACAAACCATTGGATGGCGGGGAATGGGTGGACCGGGAAAAAGTAGCTGCTGATTGGTTCGAATATACCATTTCACGGCTGCAAAATCGCGGGGGAGAACGGAGATGGATTGAAAGCGGGAATATCTTGGGAGATTTCCGGGTCAGTAATATGGGCGGGGAAGAAGAGGTAGTGAGACGTATCTACATATAGGCGAACAGCAGTGGTTAAAAGGGATCGATCCTCTGGGATGTGCTTTTCATCGCGGAACGTTGCTGAACGCAAGAGGAGCGCAGTCGCTAATAATTGGTAGGATTAGTGGTGTCAAATTAAGAATCGGGATTTCCCATATTAGAAAAAAAAAGCGTGACTGAGAGAAGCAAGCGACTCTCAGGTTGTCTGCGTCTGCACATAAGATGCGGTTATAATCACGGGTCACATTTGGGTGCAGCCAAATAGAATAGGTGGGCTCACTGCGAAGTGTCTTTCTGCTCACCCAAGATGGATCTGGCTTCCGGTGGGGAAGTGATAACTTGACATCTTACTAAAAGATCCTAAACTTTTTGCCATCCCTCCGTTGCATGAACGTGAACTGACTTCAATGAAAGGAGCCTAAATTAAGTTTTATTATTCACAGTCCAATTAGACAGAAAGTAATGTAGCTGTAAATCAGCATGTACTACATAACAAACAGATGGTTCAGTATTTATTTTAGAGCATAAACATTTCCTGGGTAAATATAAAGACTCGTATTAAGCCCTTGCACAAGTTGGGGCTGTCAGGTCCATCTTTGGTGTCCTCATAAGTCCTGTCCAAAGTGCCGTTCTCAAGCACCCAAAGACAGAGCCAACCAGAAAAGAAGTACCCTGGGGGTGAGAAAAAAAGTTAAGGAAATCTTGCAGGAACACAGGCTGCCTCTGCAAATTCAAACTTGTCTTCCTATAATGTTTCATGAGGATTGATGCTTCTGACCATATCACCATCCATGTCTAACAGGAGAGCCCTTGATGACAGGGCTGATATTCTCTTCCCAAGGAGACAATGATAGCCCTGGGTAGCTGACTGTTGCTTAGCTGAATAGGCCAGTGTGATGCCATCCTTAACCCATCTGCTGAAGGAAAAGGCTATTACTCATATTCCTAGAACATTTGCCCAAGAGGAAATGAACAGACTCTCTGCCTTCCTGTGCCCTTGAGTGTGCTTGGTGTAAGTTCTGAAGGTCACGTGCACATCTAGCTTATGCCAGCTTTTGAGCACTTGAAAGGATTTGGCAGAAATTTGGAACCAAAATTAATATTGGAATTCACCAAAGGCATAGAACAAGGTTTATGTGGAACCGTATGCCCTATAGAAATTGGAGTCCATCTCAGGTCTGAGGGATGGTTCTGATTTTAACATCACCTTAACCTGGTAAAAGAGATAAATCTTCCCTCACAGAGCCATTAATTTCCTAACCCTCTTGGCTGAGCTTAGAGTAACTAGGAAAGCCATTTTATCCCCAGGAATGTTCATTGGAAGCTGTTTAATAGACATAAGGGGAATGTGGTCAATTCCTAGAAAACTAATGTAAAATCCCATGAAGATAATTGGGAGGTGAAACTTGTGCCTTTAAGAAACCAGCATACATAGGTAGCCTGAAAGAGGCTCTGCCATTTGTCCAAAAGAATGGACCACGCATGAGTATCCCATGTGATATCTGATAGCAGCTCTTTGCCTATCCAGCTTGTAGAAATCTCAGAAATTCCAGTTCCTTATCTTATTGCTATAAAAAAAAAATCTACACTACCATTCAAATATCCAGGTTTTCTTATATAGCTTCCTTGTAGTGGGATGTCTAGTTACCAAAACAATCTCTACTTTGACATGCCAGCATAGAACACATGCCTCTGTTCATCCTCCAGATACAGCTCGTAACTACTCTGGATCTGTTAGGCTTAGCAGATCTGTTTTGTGTTCACACATGCCTGCAAGGCCCTTGCCTCATCTCTACTAAGATTGCACACCATGACCTCCTGGGTCAGATTAGTTGAATTCCTGAGCATCTTTATCTTGCATGCTGCCTAGACAGGTGTTGGCAGGAATATATAGAGAACGCCACCTTGCATAATGTAAACAACACATTATTTCCCTCTGCCCAGTAGTCATGGAACTTGGAGGAAAAAAACAGCTCGTCTACTGTCATAAACAGATTGACGGAGATCTCTTCCCTTTTCTGGAGTTCATTGGATGTAGTATCCATTTGCAGACATAAAGGAAAAAGACTTTGAAAGAAAGAGGCCAGATTCATTAGCAAAGTGATAAAAGCTGGCTTAAGCCCCAAGCAAGAAGAAAGTGTGTGCAAGCAACTCAGGCAGACACCTCCCTACTTTGCATGAGTATAAAGGGCCAGGGGGTACAGGTGGGTGGGTAATAAAGCACAGTCAGATTTGTAAGATTCTGTTGCTGTAATTAATATTAATAAAAATGGTTTTACACTTTTTGTGGAATGGATGTCTAGGTTTAGAGGGGGGCTGAAACCCCTTTATATATTCTGCCAATATGAAAACCAGAGATCACCCATCTCATCAGGTGGCTTGCTTCCTACTGGAGGCCCTTTGATTTTGTCCCAACCCAGTACTGATGTAGGCTTTTGTCATTCATATCAAAATACCTCTCCCCTTACTGCCTTTACTACATGCTCCAAATCTATCACTGCCAAATGCCCCAATCTCAGGGTACTGGCAGTAACAACTTGGACTGCAACCACTGTCAACCAGTCGTTAGCCAGCTCTCTGAAAGGCCTTCCTCCTACCCTCTGGCTGATTCTCGCCACCACAGCAAGGATCCAGCAAACTGTGGGGGAGACTGCCAGGAACAACCAGGAACTGCAGCCGATTTGCTTTTGGAATGGGAATAGGAATTATTTAAGAAATCTAGAATGGAAGTATTCATCTGACACCACATCTCCTAGCATTACAATCTTCCCTTGCAGTCTTTCCAGAGACATAAGGAATTTCTGTTAAAGATTAAAACCTTTCTTATAGTATTCTGCAGTTTGACTGACTTCTGGACTGAGTAAGGATTCTCTTTATATCAGTCACGCAATATCTTTCTGGAGGGAGTGAATGCACTCTTTGTTGTGTTCATTACTTTTCAAAGAAAATGTTCCTCAAATTTATGCCATCATCTCCCAAGCGAATTCATTTATTCATTTTATTCCATTTATATACTGCCCATCTCATTGATAAGATGACTCTGGGTGGCTTACAAAAGATAAATATTGGAACAATCAAAAAGACCAAGAAGAATGAAGGGCAAATTCACCACGGAGTCTATGGAACCAGCACCAGCACAGCTATTCTCCAATCCCACTAAAATGTTCTCAAATCAGCCCTATCTTCACTGTTGTCTCTGAATGTTGAATGCAGGATAGGGAATATAGTACTGTGCTGTGAGCTGATCAGAGCTCCCTCTAGTGGTGCTATAAGAGACGTGCAAAACTCATCAGCCAATACCGGTCTCTTGAGTTACAGCAGGTCCTACACAATATCTAAAAATCCCTAAATATCTAATATACTAACTACCGCTTTATTTTGCAAAATACAAATTACATTAAAGGGCATCACACCACCCAATTTTACTGAAAAACAGAAGGTGGAAAGAAGAATAGCAAAACAAAGCACCGTGACTTTTACCAGAAAGTAAAAGAAACAAAGGAAGCAGAACGTGCCTGATGCACATCAGTCTATGTATGTATTTATTTGTATCCCTTTATTATTTTCACAAATAACTCAAGGTGGGCGCACACACACACCTTCCTCCTCCTACTTTCCCAACAACAACCCTGGGAGGTGAATTGGGCTAAGAGAGAATGACTAGCCAAGGTCACCCAGCTGGAGTTCATGGGTAAGGTGGGACTAGAACTCACGTCGCCTGGTTTCTAGCAGGCTAGCTAGATCTTTTTTCCAGTCAAGGGATGTTGGGGGGAGGAAGCGAGACGAACTCCCTCCCCCCCCCAAAAAAACCCCAATTTCTTGCTAGGAGCTGAAGGGGCAGAAAGATTATCCCACTGATCCTTCAGCCATTTCACGGTCTGCCAGCCGTTCTCTCTCGCTGGGCCAAAGGGCTGGCTTTGAATGGGCGGAGGATGACCCTCGGAAGAGGGGCAGCGCTGCCCTTTGCCTTGGCCTATAATTGGCCGCTCTTCCTTTCCCGCCCTCCCTGGTAGAGCGTGGATAGAGACCCAAAGCAGGCGCCAGGAGGAGCCGACAGTTATTGCTGCTACCCCAACTCCTCCGTGCTGTCCTGGAGCAGAGAAGGGTCTCCTCGCGTTGGACTCCGCCTCTTCACCAACCAGGGACGGACGCAGACTAGAGTTGCTGGGACCCGGGTACGAGCGATGGGTGTTTCCGCTTTGGGGGGGGGGGGAGGCTGAAGAATCGCGCGCGCGCAGACCCAAACAGAAGGGCAGCCGACCGCCATCGTTTGCAGACATCGAAAAGTTCCCAACTCCGGAGGAGGCTCCTAATTCATCCGTCATCCGTAGCCCCCTCGCTGCCACTCCGGTGGGAGTGTCATTCTCAGCCCTGAGACCCTCTTGGGCAGCTCCGCGACGCGCACAAACGCGGAACTTTGCAGAATGCTTGGCTGGGCCGCTAATTACTGGGGTTTCCTCCACGCTGTCCCTCTGCGATTGCTGGGGCGGCCGTCCTTGTTTTGATAACATGTTGGAAGGGCGAGCACCGGAGACCCGCTGGGAGTGGAGTTTCAATTGGAACGAACGATTCTACCAAATGGTCAGCAGCTCTGATCGTGGGGAGCCGGCCCAGGGTCCCTCGTGTCTAATTTGAAGGCTGGCTTCACAAGCGCCCTAATGCTGGGTTCATAAATGCAGTTGCTGTATATGCTGCACGTGGTCTGTCCAAAGCAGTTAGCTACATGCTGTGATAATCTGAACCATGCTAGCCATTTTAACCAAGTTGTGGGAACCCACTCGAGATTTTGGAGCAGGACAAAGTTTCGCAGAATCAGTCCGGTGAGAGGCTGGGGAGATGGGACTGTTCAAAGGAGGTAACTGATACAGCACATAGAGTAATAGACAGGTGAATTTAGTCTGATGGGCAGCCTCCTGAGCTATATTATCTAGAATACTTTGTAGTTGCTGGCTGTTGAGCTCTCAAAATCTGTAACTCAGAACCAGTTACGGGGAACTCACTCTGGTCTCGCTGTCTCTCCACTGTGCATCGGTTCTTAAAGAGAAGCACTTTTGCTTTGACGCTATTATTGCCAGACTTCAGCTGTCAAAGGCCAAGCGTATACAGGTAGTCCTTGATTTACAGTAGTTCATTTAGTGACAGTTCAAAGTTACAACAGTGCTAAAAAAGGGACTTATGACCATTTTTGACACAACATTGCAGCATCCCTGTAGTCATGTGATTAAACTTCAGATGCAACTGGTTCATATTTATGTTGGTTGCAGTGTCCTGGAGTCATGTGATCACCTTTTCCAACCTTCTGACAAGCAAAATCAATGGGGTAGCCAGATTCACTTAACAACCGTGTTACTAAATTAACAACTGCAGTGATTCACTTAACAATTATGGCAAGAAAGATCATCAAATGGAGCAAAATTCACTTAACAAATGTTTCACTTAGCAACCAAAATTTTGGGCGCTATTGTGGTCGTAAGTCAAGAACTATCTGTACTTCTGAGCCCAGCCAGTTGGTTTATCCCTTTGATTAAAAAGAAATTAGTCCTGAGCTTGGAAAGAGCTGTTCCAGGCAAGAAGTTGATAAGCTAATATTATGCGAACTCTAATTGTCAAGCATTCTCAAAGACTAAACTATCAATGTCATGTGTCATCGCTGATAGGCTTATACATTATGCTTAAATTAGCTACTGAAGTAATTCATTTTCTGAGTTTATGTGTTGAAACATAAATTAACTGGATAGACGGAGCTTGCATAACATACTGAGTCACCCTAAAAGCTAATCAAAATTAACAGTAATCAAGCTTTCCTTACTGTGTGGTTGTAACTGTAAGGTCTTTATCTTTAACTGAGCCAATCATGAATGTTGTGCAAACTCAGCCAGAGATTATTGCACTGTTCATTTCAATGATGCTTGGGAAAATAAGCAAAAGGATGAGTCCTTGCCAAGCTTACAGGGAAAAGGAGCTCAATATGGACAATATTAGTGCTGGCAACGAACCCATGCTTTGCTTCAGGACGAAGTGAGAGGTAAGGTTAAGCAAACCATGCCACCTCAGTGGGATGAAGACCTTGAAGCTCAGCCTAGGCCAGCTTTTCTTAGCCTTGACAGCTTGAAGATGTGTGGATTTCAACTTCCATAATTCCCCAGCCAGCAAACCTGGAAAGACTCAAAATCAACCGTAAGAGCTTATTTGATTTCTCACTGCCTACAGTGGACCGAATGGAGGAATTCTCAGGCTGCAACTGAAAATTGCTTACAGAGGATAATCTTATCTTTTTTTTTTCCATGGTCTTTCCCCAGTTTTTCCCTTGCAGTTTTATTGGTGAAAGGAACAAAGTCAAAGGGGAGAGGAAAAGAATAAAGTCAAAGAGGAAAGCAAGTAAACATGACTAGGCATATCGAGTTAATCCACAAGCTAACTATTTAATCATCACTATGTTGGCTTGTCCCTTTCAGAAACAAAGTACAAAGGGCAATGGTAATGCTAGGTGAAGGGGATTGGATGCAAGTCTTATTCCTACAACCCTAAACACAGTTACCTGTTAGAGGAGGTTGGCTCTATGTGCTTATGTGGCAAATGTATATTCAGAGGTGGAACTCTGAAGTATTTTTGATGTGCTTTTGATCGGCTTAGCATTAGCCCCAGCAATGGAGCTATTGGAATGATGCTTTGCATCTTGCTTTTTTGTGTACCTTTCTGAGATTAAATGCCGATACTCATTCCTAGGAACACTATAGCCTAGTGTTTCTAGCCCTGATTAATTTTGTTTATTTGCTTTATAGAAAAATGAAACAGACTCTTTCCTTAATTTTTATCACAGGCATCTGACAGAGAATTCTGAGTTCATTAATCTTACATTTTAGTTAAATATAACCAAGCAGACTTCTGGTGCCTGTATATTGTATATTCCAATCATTCAAAATGATTATTGTCTCAGAAATAGCAATATAGTTGGGTCTAGGGCTCCATGCTTTAAGATATTGTCTATTTCTGGCAATGTGACCTCTTTCTATCCCTATGCTCAAATATATCATTTATTTCTCCCCTCCAGTTACTCCAATGTTGATCTTTTGGACTTTCAGTGTCGTGACTGTTCTGTCTTATCCCCTGGAGTCAAAGGGAAGACTGCCTGGCAGGCTTCTTCAATCAACATAACTGGAGGGTTCATTTGCAATGCTTATTGTAGGTATCTCCTACTTTTCCCCTGCAGACCCTTCTGCAAAATGATACCAACGAAGTTACGTGTGGCAGTAATTGGGGCAGGAGCGGCAGGACTATGCGCCGCCCGGCACATCCTTGCTTCTTCTGAGACTTTTGCTCCACCGGTGGTGTTTGAGGCCTCAGATCGCTTGGGAGGCACCTGGATTTACACAGAGGAGAAAGAAGATGCCATGGGAAGAACCATCCACTCCAGCATGTATCGTGACCTCAGGTAGTCGCCCAAAGGTGCTGCAGCCTCTCTGTGCTTTGGGATGGGTTCTTTATGCCCTTCTCGACCAGTGTACTAGACAGCATAGGAGGAGGCCTCAGGCAGCTGTTCTTTAAATGCAAAAAAGAAGGGAATCTGGGCAGGGGAGAGGAGAGGAGTGGAATGCAGTGCAGAAAGGGTGCTTTATCCTGCTTCTGCTCCTAGGACCAACCTGCCCAAGGAATCAATGGCCTTTCCAGATTTCCCCTTTGACCCATCACTGCCTTCATTCCTGCACCACTCGGATGTTCTGGCCTACCTGGATAGCTATGCAGAGCAGTCTGGAGTCTGTGACCATATCAGGGTGAGAGATGATCGGGCTGTTAGAAGCAGGGGGTGCTCCCTGGGGGAGGATGGGAGCACATGCTCCCTGGGGGAGGATGGGAGCACAATAAGTTGCCAAGGGTTTTCTCTAGATCTTTCAGTGCAATACAGATTAAATGCTGTTCATATTATTATCACGGTTGGTTGCACAGTGAACCAGATGTTTAGAAGGGATTTGGCATTTCTGTATGCTTATCAAGCCCTTCCCAAGGAGCTGAAATTATTATTTTTATCCTGAGATTGATGACAGACAGACAGACAGACAGATGAGAGCGAGCGAGAGAATCAACTTAAGGCAACAAGCATATGTGATACTCCTGCCTCCTATTTTCCCCACAATAACAACCCTCTGAGATGGACTGAGCTGAGAGAGAGTAAATGGACCAAGTCATCCAGTTGGCTTTCATGACTAAGGGAGGCATATAATTCACAGCGTCCTGGTTTCTGGCCCAGCACCTTCACCACTACACACCATTAGTTTTGCTGCAGAATATTCAGAGCCTTACAGATCCAGAGCTAGCTGGTTTCTGGGAACTTCACCTGTTCTCTTCCATTTTTCTTCCCTAGTTCCAATGGCAAGTGGAGGAGGTCAGGCCTGTTGAGAGGGATGCAGGCAGCCTAGGTGGCTGGGAAGTCACAGCAACAGTGCAGCACCCAGAGTCAACTCAGCAAGTCAAAGAGCACTTTGATGCTGTCATGGTCTGCACTGGGTAAGTCCTACTTGAGCTGGGCTGGGGCAGGGAGGGTGCTCTTGATAAGCAGAGAAGAAGCAATAAATTAATAGCCTGTGAAGTTTTTGCTGTTCTTGCTGTTGCTTTGTGGGGAGGTCAAGATTCAAAGAGAGAGTGGAGAGTGGAGATGACTAACCTCCTTATGATTGCTGCAAAATCATGTTAGAATGAATGAAAGGCCAGGCAAATCACTTGATGCTTTTGTAAATCAAGAAAGAAAAGGAGAGAATATGCTGTGATGCTTGACATGTCTCTGTTCCCCAACCTCCATCCTAATAGTTTTATTTCTGCAGCCATTACACTGTCCCATTTATACCTCCCATTCCTGGGTTGGACACTTTCCAAGGTAAGCTTTAAATCTTCCTTATTCTTTAGTGACAAGGGTGAACTTGCGGCTGGATCAAGTTAAAACCATCAGATCCAGCATTTTACTTCCTCCATTGTCCAATCAATTGAAATAGTCTAGACCAGGGGTAGGCAACCTTGGCTCTTTTATGACTCGTGGAATTCAACTCCCAGAATTCCTGAGCCAGCATAGCTGGGTGTTGAAGTTTACGAGTCATAAAAGAGCCAAAGTTGCCTACCCCTAGTCTAGACCAGCAGTAGGCAACCTCAGCTCTTTTATGACTCGTTTACTTCAACTCCCAGAATTCCTGAGCCAGCCATGCTGGCTCAGGAATTCTGGGAGTTGAAGTCCACGAGTCATAAAAGAGCCAAGGTTGCCTATCCCTGGTCTAGACTCTAGAGACTTATTTAATAGACAATGTACTTATTACATTGTCCAACCAGGGGCCCCTGGAAAAAGTTTAACGAGAGGAAGAAGGCTGTAGGCTTTTTTTCTGTTGTTGTTCCCTTATCACTGATGTTTAGACGTAGGCTGCCTCTAAAAATTAATGTTTCATGTAGCACACCCCAGTGCCTAATAGTCAATTTTATACACATACACACACACACACAAACGTGGTTTTTTTTTGTTGCAGTGCAGAGTTACACGAGACAGCCATTTTAAAAATGCCATCCTTATATTAAAATTATTTGTTTTAAAATTATTATAACTATAATGCTACATAATACTTTTTTTTACATTGTTACCATAAGCTGGGGAGGAAAGCTATGGCAAATCTAGACAGCATACTAAAAAGCAGAGACATCACCCTGCCAACAAAAGTGTGTATAGTCAAGGCCATGTTTTCCCAGTTGCAATGTATGGATGTGAAAGTTGGACCATAAAAAAGGCTGAGCGCAAAAGAATTGAGGCCTTTGAACTATGGTGCTGGAAAAGATTCCTGCGAGTCCCCTGGACTGCAAGGCGATCAAACCGGTCAGTCCTAGAGGAGATCAACCCCGACTGCTCTTTAGAAGGCCAGATCCTGAAGTTGAAACTCAAATACTTTGGCCACCTAATGAGAAGGAAGGACTCACTGGAGAAGAGTCTAATGCTGGGAAAGATTGAGGGCAATAGAAGAAGGGGACGACAGAATGAGATGGCTGGATGGAGTCACTGAAGCAGTAGGCATGAGCTTAAATGGACTCTAGAAGATGGTAGAGGACAGGAAGACCTGGAGGAATGTTGTCCATGGGGTCGCGATGGGTCGGACACGACTTCGCAACTAACAACAACACCATAAGCTGCCTGACTGAAAGAATGCAGAGAATATAAAGTTTCTACTTCAGGGCCGAGAATTGTTACATAGTTGAATAGCCCATTTATAAAAGAATAAGTAAAGAAATAAACTGTTCCCTTTCCCCTTTAATTCTAAGGGGGCTAAATTCTATCTTTGTAGCCGAAGAGCAAGGAATAACCCCTCCTTCTTGTTGTATCTCAATGCCTCCTGGAAGTGCCAGGCATTTTACCAGACTAGGATTTCGAAAACAAGAACAAAGAGGAGGAAATTTCATTAAATGGAGGCCATTTAGCTTCCAAAAACTGAATACAATGCTCCAGAGATAGCACAAAGAGCCTGCTTAAGTTCTGGGAATAGGCCAGGAGGAACATTTCAAGAGAAGGAAGTTCTCATATAGTGCTGACTGACAGTTCCCAAGTATCCAAAGGGCATGATAAGAAGGAGTTAGAGAGGTTTCATTTAACCTTTCTTTTCTTAATCTTTCATTTAACAAGATCAGACAAAGATGTAGCAGATACCTTTGCACAACCCATAACCTGTATCTTATATCAGGCTGAGTCAAATCCAGATATTTAATTATTGCTAACCTTAGGTTTTTGTGCTTTAGCATCAGGTGCAAATTCAGTTTATTTGGTGACTTTATAGTTCCAGTGTAGACCCAGAGAAAGGGTTAATTCAGCAGTTGAGTTAAGCATGTCCTGTGAACAAAGTCAGACCCTCCCTATTTTGCCAGGGATTGCAGCATTGTTGGTGTCTGTTTTCTGCCCTTCTGTTCTGAGTAGATCAAGTGAGCAAAGTCACCTTCACCCTTCACCAGCTCACCAAAGGCACCAACAGGTAAAGCAAATGAGCAAAAAGGTGTAGGCAAGAGGAAAGTGGAATAGTGCCAGCCTTTTGAAGTCGTCCAGACAAGAAGCACAAACCATGAGCATGAATATTACCTTTATTGTATGGTTAAAGTAACAGTCTTGCAAGTCTGAAAGCCCTGCTCCCTTCTTTTACTTCTACTTTCCAGAAAACTAGGAACTAGAAAACTTCTGAGATGATTCCCTTGCCATTTTTCCTTTTGTGGGCTAAGATACATTTTGCATGACAATTGGCTAGTCTGTGGCTTTTCCTCTTGTCTCCCAGGGTCATTCTCACATACCATTACATAGAGACAGAGCAATAGGCACAGGTTGGATATGCATTGTACTCTACACAAGAATGCCTGTGGTGAGGTGGAAGCTATTACTTGCCAACATTTTTTTCTCTGTCTCCCCAGGCCGTATTCTGCACAGCCACTCCTACCGCTATCCAGAGCCCTTTGCCAATCAATCTGTAGTGCTGGTAGGCGCTGGTCCATCAGGAATTGATCTGGCCTTGCAACTCTCTGATGTAGCTGCTCAAGTAGTGCTCAGCCATAAAAGGCAACATGTGTGCGGGCTGCCCAAGGATGTGATACAGGTACCCCCACTTTTGAAGGTGGGGCAAAAGACAATGGTATTCACTGACTGCTCCAAGATGCCAGCTGATGTCTTGATTCTCTGTACAGGCTACAAGTACAACTTCCCCTTCTTGGACTTGGCCCAATTGGGCTTACAAGAGACAGATTATGGAATGGGCCCCCTGTACCAGCATTTACTGCCCCCCCAGCACCCTTCACTCTTCTTGATCGGCCTTTGTCAGCAGATCTGTCCTTTCCCACACTTCCACTGCCAGGTGCTATTTGCACTGGCTGTGCTAAGTGGGCGCTGTTCCCTCCCTTCTGTGGCTGACATGGAGTCTGAAGTCCAAAGACAGCTGGGACAACATTTGAAGAATGGAGGGTTGGCCCGGTACTTCCTGAAGCTGAGGGAAAAACAGTGGAGCTATATGGAGGACCTAGCTCACCTTGCTGGATTCCCACCTGTGCCACCTACTGTCCAACAAATTTATGAAGATACCCATGCCAACCGTCTCTGCAATGTGACCACCTATCGTAGCAGAAACTATCGGCTATTGGGCCCCAGTGCTTGGGAGTTGGTGCAGGATTGTGGTGAGGATTGCATAAAGACTGGAGATCCAAAATGAGGACCTTTAGAATGCTCCACCTGGCATTCTTCTCTCTTCCTCTGTGTGGTTTTCCTTCTAAGGCCCATCTGCAGTCGGGGAAATCAGGCCAAGAACTGCCAGGTGAGACAGAGAAAGAACCAAATCCCCTCATGGCATCATTGAAATACAAGAAAGAGCTTTTGTAGGGGAAACTTGAAGCAGATCATAAAGAGGGAGAAATAATGCATATTCCATCAGAAGGAAAAAGGGGGGCTAGATTCACACAACATGCTTAACCCTAAACCAGGTTTTATATATATATATAAAAAAACAGTTGGTCTGTCTATGTGGCTCTCTATGGCCAAGCTAACAAATTGACAAAGCTAAGTGACAATCTAGTTTAGGGGCATCCACTCAGGGGCATATTTAAAAAGTCAGGAGGAAAACTGCAATCGTGACTAGTTTGATTGGCTTTGCCCAACTAGCCAATCCCAGTTTTGATTCGTATAGTATGGTGTAACCTCTAACCAGAGAGTGCCCAGCCTAAGCTTTCTGGTGTGCTTTGTGACTGGGTGAAGCTAGAAAGCCAGGTCTTTAAATAACAGCTCTTTTTGACTGTGCATCACACTTTATAATTTACACCGCTTATCGCAATCCAGAAAATTTTTGCCCTTTGGTGCCATATAAATAGAAATAAAGAAAACCTGATTCCAATGAGAATGAGAAAAAGAAATTCAGCTAGCTGCAGTCCATAGGCTACGTTTCCTTGGGTTCAATGGAAATTTATAGCAGTGCTTTAATTATGGGAGCTACAGAATTCTTCAGGTGATGTCCAATTGAGGGGACAGAGAATAAATCAAAATTGTAATCTGACTGAAATGAATGCATTTCATATATTAACCCATTCCTGTTTCAAAAGGCCTTAGAGCAATTACAGAATACTTTTAATGAAAAAGAGAAAAATGTATCTGGGCTAGGGTTCACACAAGTTCCTAGTTACTAAACTGACTCTTTTCTGTATTTGCACCAAACAATACATTAACCTATAAACTAACCACATGGGCTGGCTTTCCATACCATGGTAAGCCATGGAAAACTAATGGTTTCACAATAGCCAAACTTAGCAGTGTTGTGCAAATGAAGCTCCAAGAGCTTGGCTTTTGCATTCATGCATGCACAATGTTGTTTATCCTATACGAAGAAAAGAGAAAGAACATCAGTGGCAATATTAAAAGAAATCAAGTGTCTTTTGTATTGTGCGTGAGCCTTGGTCCCCAGATAGTTTTTTGAATAAAAATATGGAATTGCTTTTCTACTGCTGGGATGGTTTTCCCATTTCCAGTCCATAATGTATAGTGCTAGAATTCCCTGGTGATCTTCCACCTGCGTATTAACAAGGCCTGGCCCTGTTTCACTTCCCACTTCGGATGAGACCAGCCAGGTGCTGCCGCCATTTTCTGAATACTTAACACAGTGTTTCTCAACCTTAGCAGCTTTAAGATGCACGGACATCAACTCCCAGAACTCTTTTGCTGGCTGGAGAATTTTGGGATTTGAAGTCCTCACATCTTAAAGTTGCCAAAGTGGAGAAACACTGACTTAAGCATATAGCCAGTACTATTGTGGCCATAACGAGAGTCACTTTTTCATCCCATGTCTGCATTTGTCTGTGCATGCACATGAATGGAAAATGACAGATAAAAAGTAAATTGTCCTTCATATCTGATGACTTACCTAAAAATATCCATGCACAACCATGGGTTTCACGATAATGCCAGAAAGCAGTCTATAGATGTCATCTGGCTTCTGGTGAATAGGGGTTTACAAACTGTACCCATTACAGCAGCCACTTTTGCCAATGGAGAAACTTTTCAACACAACTGCTGTGTGTGTGTCCTCTATGCTCTCAGAACTTTACCCTTAGCCCAAGGGTCTCCAACCCCCGGTTTGTGGACCAGCACTGGGCCGCGACATGCCAGCAATCAGGCAGTGCAAACAAGCAAAGCGCCATTTGCAAGATGCAGGCAGTACATGAAACTACACCCCCTCCAGTCCACAGAATAACCTCTATCCACAGAACCAGTTCCTGGTGCTCAAAAGCTTGAAGGCTGCTGTCTTAGCCCAAAAATTGTGTATCTTTGATTTAAAAGCGGCAGCCTTTCTCTACTTCCCTAATACATTTTTAAAATTTTTGTGTGCCCTCGACTTTCTAAATTTCACGTTCAGGTGCATATCTCAAGTGTATGATAAAAAAGAATCCATATATACTTAAGGTTTTTATTATTCCAATGACTTCAGTCAAAACATGTACTGGTACTGAATTACATTTACAATGCTTTAAACTGAAATGAGTCAGTCTTTCTGGTAATTTCATCTTCCATATTTGCAAGCGTTGTCAGTCTTCCATGCATTAGAGGTAGACAGTTTATCCTCTATAACAGGGGTCCCCAACCCCGGGTCCGTGGACTAGTACCGGGCTGCAGCATGCTAGCAACCGGTCCGCACAAACAAGCAAAGCCCCATCCTTGGGATGCAGGCAGCACACAAAACCATGCCCCCTATGGTCCACAGAAAAACCTCTCTCCACAGAACCAGTCCCTGGTGCCCAAAAGGTTGGGGACCTCTGCTCTATAAACATTCAGTTTTGGGGAAAATATTATTAGAGCCAGATGACACTTTGGCAAGCTCTGCAAGAGATGCTGAGCTATGATTCAGCAGGATAGTGGAAACAAATCAAGTATCTAAACCAAGAACATCTGTGGGCATATCTTTTACGTCCCCCCTCCCTGATAAATATGTTCTAGAGCACGGGTGTCAAACTGAATTGTGTCACATAGCGTATCGCGACGTTTTTGGCCTTTGTGGAGCTGGGATGGGTGTGGCCTGCACATGACACATCTGGCCAGCGGGCCGCCAGTTTGGCACCCCTGCTCTAGAGAATTGCATTAAGAAGTAGAGCTTCCTTGAATAGGAATGCTCATCATGTCAACAACAATCATCTGTCATCTAGCACCCAGCTTGAGAAAAGCATAGCAAGGTCTCCAATTAAGCCATGAAAAAGTGGAAAAAAGTAGTGCTGGGTTTAATAAACTGTGTTGGAGCCTAAGAAGGAACTGCACTGTCATATTTGGATCTGGCATGAGCATTCACTTGTGTTTTGTTGGCTGTTCCTTAAAGGAGTCACGCCTTTTCCAAAACTTGAACAGAAGAAAACGCTAATTTGAGTTAAGGCAAAATGGGATCACACTGTTTCAGGGGTCCTCAACTCTCGGGCTGCAGCCCAGTACCCGGCTGAAGCCCATTCAGAACTGGCTGCGGAAGCGGAGGACAAGGCCATGTGTGTGCGCAGTCTACTTGCATGAGCAGTGGGTAAGCACGCATACGTGCAAAGCTCCATTTGTGCAAGTGGCAGCCATGTGTGCCCACCACTTGTGCAAATAGAGCTGCATGCGCACATGTTTTCCTGCTACTTGTGCGGAACCATCCCCTCTCCATCCCCCAGTCTGCAAAGCTGGAAAGGTTGGGGGCCACTGCACTGTGTTACAGGTAATTCTCAACTTGTAACCATTCCTTGAGCGACTGTTCAAAGTTACAACAGCACTGAAAAAAGTGACTTATGACCAATCCTCACACATACAACCAATGCAGAATCCTCATGGTCACATGATCAAAATTCAGGCACTTGGCAACTGGCATGTGTTTACAAAGGTTGCATATCATCACCATTTGTGACTTTTCAAGCCAGCTTCTGACAAAGTCAATCCAGGAAGCTGGATTCACTTAATGACTGCCTGATTCTCTTAACTGCAGTGATTAACTTAACAGCCATGGCAAGGAAGATTCATAAAATTGGGTGTGACTCACTAACAACTGCGAGGCAATGGAAATTCAGGTCATAATTATGGTTGTTAAGGATTACCTCTACCACCACCTTAATGCTTCTTTAACTCAAACACATCTTTTCCTGAGCCCTTTCTGCTAGGGCAGGGGTCCCCAATCCCCAGTCCGTGGACCAGTACCAGGCCACGGCATGCCAGCAACCGGTCCGCACAAACAAGCAAAGCCCCATCTGCGGGATGCAGGCAGCACACAAAACCATGCCCCTTCTGGTCCATGGAAAAACCTTTCTCCACAGAACCAGTCCCTGGTGCCCAAAAGGTTGGGAACCTCTGTGCTAGGGTGCAAGTCTTGGAAAAGGCAGAGCTTGTTTAAGGATCAGCCAAGGGAAAGAGGTTGCCTGTGAAGATTCAGTACACTATTTTGCTTCAAATCTGAACACCATGTCCTTCTAAGGACAAACAATTACTTGAAGTGGCTTCATTCAAGTCTGAAACAGGGATCCTTATCTAGTTATGCCATACTTGACCATACTTGACTTTGGGAAGCTTTTGCCAGGTTTGTCCATTCATTTCATTTAAATTTATTGACTGCCCAACTCCAATGGACTTCCCAGAGCGAACCGGAGACTTTATAATTTTCCAAGGAAATAGCGAACTTCACCTGTCTGTTGAATCTGTTTGCTGTCCTGGAATTCTTATCTGAGCAAGGCAATTACACCATACTACCTGTAAAAGGGCAAATGCTTGGGTGGAAAAGCTTCCTGTTGCAGTGGCCTCTTCCTTGTTCAAGATGCAGAGGGAGATTGTGTTTCCAAGGGCTGGCCAGACAGCATTATTTCTTCTGCGTAGTCACAATGTGAAGCCCGGCTCCTTAGAAAAGGTTCTAGGGGTACTTGTCGTTGGAAGGTCTCAGTGGTAAAATAATAGGCCAGAGGATCTAGGGCAGCATTCACACAAGATAAGAGCAGGACATATCTGTAGGCCTGAACTAAATTTTGATTCAACTCTAGTACAAGAAAGCAAAGTACTGTCAAATGGTAGGGCAAGAAGCAACCCAGAAAGATGACCACATTCGTCACTACCATTAACCTGATCTTGGATATATTGATCAGTTCCATCTCCACACTTACACTCCGGTGGAAAACATGCAGCAAATTATAGGAGGAAGTTACGGTGACAACCAATGTAATGGCATAACATAGCACCATAGCACTGGAAATACCAGCATTTGTGATATATTGAGGATTTTCATCAAAGCAGAGAGTGCTGCTGTGTTTTGTAGCATTCTTGGCAGCAAAGTATGTGGGAATGGCTCCCCCAATACTCAAGGTCCATATACCCACACAGATGTACTTGGCTTGTCGACGTATGGCCTGTGCCCAGGAGCTGAGTGGAAAGCGCACAGCCATCCAGCGGTCTGAGCTGATGCAAGTCAGAAGG